GAAAAGATGCCTTGTGAGGGAATTTTTTTTCCATTCTGTTTCTGCAGCACATGGCACCAAAAGAGGGCTATATATAGACCCTTCTCCCATTAAAAACGGGAGTGTTTAATACTCTAAAAATTATAGAAAACTTATCTGCATCCTTTTGGTTGAGAACTGCTAGGAATTACTCTTGGATTCTATTGTTGATAAGAGCTTAAGATTTTCAAAAGGTTTCTGAGTTATCTGGGTCAGAAATGGTCTGAGTTTGGGAACTTCAAATCTTATTTTGGGAGCTGTTTGATTTCTGGATCTACTGTTACATTGCTGAAGCCAGAACTAAGCTCTGTTGTTGCTGTTCTTGCTGATCACTCACTCTTTGTTTTGCTTCTCTTTTGAACTCCAGGTACTTTTCCAAAATTCTACCGGATGTAAGTCTCAGTTTGAAGATGAAATGAAAGTTGAAAGCATGGCCATAGATCCCCTTGTGTTCATTTATATTTCTTCATGATGTCTGTGCCCTAGATCACATGATTCATTGTGTATTTAATTGGATTCATACGTCTGTATTTGATTGGGGGCTGTTAGAACATTGTGTTTAAAAGTTCAATCAATTTTAATGTGTTTTAAATCTGTTAGCTCTAAATAGCATAAGTAATCATGCTTGGGAACAATTTCACGGTTGAATTGATATTAAGGAGGCTGAGGGCGAAATGATGATGTGTGTTGGGATATTAGCAAAGTTTTGTGAATTGTTTAAATATGATGGTGTTGTTTTGTTATGAGAAATAGGATGGCATTTGTGATGTATGCATCAAGACATAAGATTAGAAGTGGCTTAATTTACTTATCATTTTTGCTCATGACCTTTGCATATTTTTAACTCAGTGCGTAATGTTTTTAAAAAAAAAATAGTTTTAAATCTTGCTAGAGGTTAAATTTCGGTTTCATCAGTTGTCAAATAGCAGTTCGTGTTAGGGTAAAACATTTGTTTAAGAGTTTCGTTAATATGCCTCTCATGGATTCAATAATTGTTTGATCCTGAAATATGAGCCCAATAGTGGACCAAGTAATGAGGTTCAGTCCTAAATTTTCATCTCTGGATATTCCTCCTCATCAGGAAGTGGGCTCGCACCTTCAACGCCTTTGCCCATTAGACTTTGTCAAGTTAATTTCCTTTGGGTAGTTGGGCTTTTCATGACGGGTTCGATCGTTTAATGGGGTAGAATCAATAGTTTAAAACAATTAGAATTCTCGTAAGCTTCCCTTAATAAATTAATTAGACCCATTAATTAGTGGAGGCGAGCCATATTAAATAATACAAATAGTTTATGGCCCTCCGAAATTTAGTTTGAATTACCTTTTAAAAATTAGAGTTGAGGTGCGCCGTGCCAAACAAAATGACAATTGCATGGCCCTCGTGTGATTAATCTAGTTTTGGTCCTTAGAATTCGCGGCGTGCCACCTAGTTGAATTTCCATGGAGCTCGCAAAGTTGCAAATGCGTAGTTGCTTTAGGCGCGTTATTTTAATAATCTACCTTCCTAAACTCGGGTGCACATTTATGTGACCCAAATCTAAATCTCAATAATGTTATATAAAATGTGTTGCGGACTGCGGGTGCATTTATGTGACGTGGTTCAAGACATATTTTAAATGACATTGCAATTTTTTTTTAAAAATAAATAAAAGCGGTAAAGGTTTAAAATTGCACCATAGGCTAACACATGTACTAAAATCAGATAATAGGCCATTTATAACAGTTGAGCGACCGTGCTAGAATCACGGAACTCAAGAATGCCTAACACCTTCTCCCGGGTTAACAGAATTCCTTACCCAAATTTCTGGTTCGCGGACTGTAATACAGAGTCAATCTTTTCCTCGATTCGGGATTTGAACTGGTGACTTGGGACACCATAAATTATCCCAAGTGGCGACTCTGAATTCTTTAAATAAATGAATCCCGTTTCGATTGTCACTTCAAGTTGAAAATAACTCCCTTATATACCCTTTATGCGAGTGTAGTAAAAAGAAGGTGTGACAACCTGATTGATCACAACTGTAGCAATTTCTAGCTCTTGATTTGGATTGACTTTTAGACTTCCCACGAGCTCCGGGTATACCATAGTTGCTCGAACCCCTTTGGTGACTCATGCCTCTACCTTCTTTGATGAGATCCTGTCCTTTATTTTCAGGCTTCTTTCTCATCTTCTCATTGAGTGGAAAAGCTAATGTGACGTCCTTCAACTCAATAGTGGTCTTACCATGCATGATGCTTGTTTCTAAATTATTATAAGAAGATATCAACGACTTCAGGAGCAAGATAACTTATTATTCCTCGATCTTTACTCCGAGATTGGCAAGCTATGTGAGTAATCCATTAAATATATTTAAATATGATAAAAAATTCGTACCTTTACCCATATATAGGGCATATAGTTGCTTCTTTAGGTACAATTTATTTGTCAGCGATTTGGATATGTATAGGCTTTTCAACCTTGTCCAAACGCCACATGCATTATCTTCATCAATGATGTTATTTACCAAATCATCTGATAAGTGCAACCTGATTGCACTAGCAGCCTTTTCATTCAAGTCAGTCCAACCCTTAAATTTTATGATATCGGGAGCATCACCGTCTAATGCTTTATGTAATCCTTATTGGACGAGCAGATCTCCCATCCTTCTTTTCTTTGTTGAGAAACCATTAACTCTGTTGAACTTTTCGACCTCGTACTTTATTTCAGACATTTTATCTTTTTACCGAGTATAGTACTACCGACTGTGAATAGTATTTCAACGAGTAGAACCTGTACTCTGACACCCGTTGTTGGAAATAAACCGTACAATAAATAAAATTTATGATAGTAATAAAATATAATGTAGCACCTGGATACGACAATCAACAAGAATAAAAGAGTAATAATGATACCAAGATTTTTACGTGAAAGATTCTTTTGAATAAGAAAAAAAAAATATGACCCCGAAAGGAGCAACTGATATCACTATAGCAAAAAACTTTACACTTTATAGGCCCGAGTAAAATACTTCAAAGATTACTACAATACTCAAAAGAAATAACTTTCTTTTGATATTTTCATACCCTTTGTGTTGCCTCACTATTTCTTTCTCTCTTTGTTGGGTGTGTTGAAACAAGTGAAACAACACTCCTTTTATAGGAGTGCAATTCGTAGCCTCCAAGAAAGCTACAAGATACAAGTCTCCTCTATTCATTTCCAAACTTGGGGTCAAATTAATAATATGCACGTGGCTATTATATGGGATAGACCCCACAAGAAACACATTGAATTGGTTGACACTTGAAAATTTTAAAGGTGTGGCAATAGAAGCAGGTTTACAAAGCACAATTTGCAATTATAAATATGTGCTGGTACTATTTGATTGGAGTACCTATTGAAGCTTTACTTGCATATCTAGCTCATCTTCAAGTGAAGGTAGTTTTCACTTAAAAACAAGATTCTCTAAACTTCTGTTTACAGTTTGCACTTAAAGACCTCAGAATTTTGTTGCCTTATTTAATCTCAGCAAACATTGGGGAAATAAGAGTTTGTTTAACGTGAAGTTTAAGAAATGATTATTTGAAAAGGTTGTAGTGAAGCGTAGAGGGTGATGTTTGTATTAGGCGCACACCACGGTTCGAACCTCGTCACAGACAAAAAGCTTAGTATTAAAGCGGAGAAAGGTAGAGGGGCGAACCCATTTCATCATTTACTTTACTTTTTTCCTCTGTTTTGTTATTAGGATACATGGATTGGAAAGATATGTGGAGTACTTACTCAGTTAGCTGCATTATGCTTTATGACATGGAGAATAGCTTGGAATGAAGATATATAAAATTTTGCAAATTTTCTGTGTAAAATAAACTTATAAATACCATACTAATTTCTGTAGTTTAAAAATCATATTGTAGGTACTAAGGCCACCAGATGATCACTAACAATACAAAAACCTCTTCCAAAAAACTGAGAAACACCTGAAACAAATGCAACCCACACCCCTCAGATGTACACCTACTCAGGCACCTTTCACCCTTATCATCAATGCTTCTAGAATCCACAAGAACCTAGGAGCACCTCCCTTCTCTTGGAACCCCAACCATGCACAATCCCCTGAACCTGTTAAACACAACAGCCTCACAAAACTGTGCAGAAATTCTCTGTTTTTCTCTAACACTGTTTTCTGTTTTGCAGGTACTCTTTCCCTTGCTTGTGTCACTCAATTGATATGGTTTTTGGGAGTGGTATTACCACTTCTAGTGTTCATTCTCCTGGAACCATTCCAACTGACACGCCAACATCAACCCCTCAGGAACATCACCACACAAAGGCAACAGAAAATGCAGAAAGCAACAGTTTTACCTGAAGGCTATCTCATTCCATTCTACTATTTTACACTTCAGCCCCAGCCCAAACAACCATACCAACCAAACTGTTTTCATCATTGCTGCAGAAATCCAAATGCCTGCAGTAATGCTTTTTCAATTCAGTTTCAATTCCACACCATGAGCAAAACCTATAAAGCTGATTGCAGTCCACACAAGAACCTACAATCAGCTTTCTCTCATAAATCAGGGATCATCAAAGCTCCCCTGCCCCCAGACTCATCTCCAGTTGACACAAGAACCTGGAGATTGAGCTCCCTTTTACTAACATGTTTGTTAATTTTTCCAGGTTTTCTGAGCAGACTTGGGCAGTTTATGTGCCTACAGTTAGTGGTATTAGCTTCTATGAAGCTCATTCTACTGAAAGTACACAAACTGCTCCAAGTATCTCAAATCAGCTTCAACCTTGTTCCATTCAACAGCTCATCTGGGATGCCTTCAATACCTTCAGTGCTCAGTTAACAACAGTTTCAAATATGCTGCTTCATGCTGTCTTTGAAGCAGCAACACCCACAGTACTTGGACACAATGCAGCTGCAGCATCTACAGCAGGAAAACAATAGGGAAACAAACCTAATCATCCTGCATTCTCCTCAGCAGCTTCCACCAGCAAAGCTCAATCATGACAGTTCCTTCTCTATCAGACAGGACTCAGTTGAAGGCCACAGGCATCCATGTGAAGGAAGACAATGTTCACTCCCTTCTGTCACATTCAGCAAGCAACACCACTTCTCATCTATTGGGGACCTTTTGCTTGCTATCTTCACCTTAGCTTTCTCTGTAATTGATGTCAAAGCAAGGATGAAGATAGCATCTCCTAACATCACAAGTTTTTTGCATTTCTCCTTAGGGATTTCCTACATCTATTGTAGAGGTAGATTGGTTTGTATATGGAAGTCAATCTTCCAACTCAACAACTTGGTAGCATTAGGTTTACATGTGCATTTATGTATAGTTGACCTAGGTTTACTTCATTCTGTTTTTGTATATCCAATTAACTATCATAATGTGATAAGTCAATTGGATCATCAGCATAGGTCTAACTCACCACAGTTCTCAGGTTTATTTGGTCACTATATGTTTATGACCAGGTGCCTTTCTACCATTTCTTGGAGGTCAGGTGTATGCCCCCCCTCCTATGTTGTACTTTTATTTATTATATATGAAAATTAGCTCTAGTCACAATGCCTAGTGGATTCAACAAAAAAAAAAGGTACTAAGGCCAAACAACAATTCAAAGCCACCAACAATATCAATGTACCAAGTCATGTCAAATGTAACGATTTAGATTTTAAAGATAATATTTAGTGTTGGAAAATATATAAGATTTGAAGGATTACCAAAGCAAAATGATACAAATCGTTAATGTTTCTCTTGTTCACGTGTTTACATTCAACGCTCCATTGAATTGAAGAGTAATGGATGTAACTACAGTGGATGATCCTTGCCCAATGCTTAAAACCAAAAAGATAACATATCTAACTTTTTCTATTCATAAAACCAAAAAAGAAACACTTTTCTATTCTTTCCATCCTCAATGACAAAGTATAAGAATAGGAGAGTTATGAAATAAAAGCAATTTAGTAAAATATAAATAACAAATAGAGATAAAAGAAGGAGGAGTTTTTCTTCTTCAATTGTGTGTCATTTACAATCTAGTTACAAGCTAGTTTATTGGCATAAAAAAGTTAAGACCACTATAGTAAAATAGTGCAAGGGATGGATATAAAGTATGAATTCATCCACAAACTATTCACACATGAATGTTCATCCACATACCATTTACAACCCTCCCATTCGGATGGCGATGTAAAGAAAAAAATATATATGCATCATAAGAGCTTAATAGGAAAAGCCTAGGAAGTAGATAGTTATTTGTAATACGCATTACATGCTGACTCATTAAAAACCTTACTAGGAAAACCCAATAGGACAAAACCTTAGTTAAGGAAAAAAGAGTACAATATGTAATTTTACTCCTCCTGATTAAAATATCACTTAAGGTCTCGGAGACACTACATTCCATCTTCTATATTAACTTCTCAAATGTTGAGGTTGGTAATGCCTCAGTAAACAGATCCGCCAAATTATCACTTTAACGAACTTGTTGAACATCTATTTCACCATTCTTTTGAAGATCATGAGTGAAGAAGAGTTTTGGTGAAATATGTCTTGTTTAGTCTCCTTTAATGTGTCCTCCTTTCAGTCGAGCATACATGCAACACTGTCTTCATACATGTTGTTGGAATATTTCCTTTCAAAGAAAGACCAGAAAGACCACGTGTTTCCTGCATGTGTTGAGTTATTGATCTCAACCATTTGCATTCTCGATTTGGTTCATGAATGTCTATTATCTCTGCATGATTTGAAGAAGTAGCAACCATAGTCTATTTTGTGAACACCACGATATGGTTGTACCTCCACATGTAAATAAGTAGTCTGTCTGAGATCGAGCTTTATGTGAATCAGACAAATATCCTGCATCTGCATAACCAATTAATGCTGACTTGGATTTATTTGAATAGAATAAACCCATATCAGTGCTCCCCATGAGGTATCTAAATATATGCTTAATACCATTTCAGTATCTTTGTGTTGAGGAAGAACTAAATTTTACTAACAAGCTTACTGAGAAAGCTATATCTGGTCGAGAATTATTGGCAAGATACATTGATGGCCCAATTGCACTAAGATATGGTATTTCAGCACCAAAAAGCTCTTTATCATTTTCATGAGGTCGGAATGAATCTTTATTTATATCAAGTGATCTCACAATTATCAGGGTACTCAATGGATGTGCTTTATCCATATAGAATCACTTTAAGATCTTTTCGGTGTACATTAATTGATGGACAAAAATTCCATCTTTCATATACTTAATTTGTCGACCAACATAAATCTTGTCTTTCCAAGATTTTTCATTTCAAATTCTTTCTTCAAATAATTTACTGCTTTTGGAAGTTCCCGAAAAGTTCCAATGATATTTAAATCATCAACATACACAACAATTATAACAAATTCAGATCCAGACCTTTTTATAAAGACACAAGGACAAATTGAATCATTCTTGTACCCTTCTTTTAATTGGTACTCACTCAGGCGGTTATACCACATGCGGCTTGACTGTTTCAATCTGTATAAGGATTTTTGAAGCTTTATAGAACAAGTTTCTCGAAAACTGTATATGCTTCAGGAATTTTAAATCCCTCAGAGATTTTTATAAAATTTTCATTATCTAATAAGCCATACAAATAGGCTATGACAACATCCATTAGACGCATATCAAGTTTTTCATGCACTGCCAGGTTTATAAGATACTTGAACATGATTGCATTTTGTCGCGCCCCCTTTTTCTCGCGAAATCGGGTTTCGATATTTTGACAACTCCTTTTGACAGAATAGGGAAAAGGAATTGGTTGTTAAAGTCGCCACTTAACGAATTAAGGTGCGTTAGGGCACCTATAGCAAATAACACAGATTATACCGGTTTGCATCACTAGAGATCGGGTTAGGGCTCAAATTACCTTGAGGGGAAGGTGTTAGGCACCCCTCGAGGTCCACAACGGTAGGTCCCGGCCGAACTTAAATTATGCGAATTAGTCTATGTGATCAAAGCTAAGAAACAAGAAATTTCTAAAACATGAATAATCTATTGAAAGACAAAGAAGGGGGGTCCTAAATTTTTTAGCCTAAAGGATCACCCCGTGCAACATAAATAATGCTTCGTAACCCCCTTGGGATGGGCTATTACTCATATTATTCAGCGGGCACAGACTATCATCTCCTGCTACCCAATTACTATCTTTAAGTTGTTTACCTGAATCGCACTAATTGATTCTAACTCATGTCCTATGCGTGCACTACCCGTCCCATGTCATGGTCCAGGAGGCTTTGGACCTACTATTTCGGTAGTTCTAGACTAGGCCTAAGGTTCTCAAAATTGTAAAATACTAGGCGACAAGCAAAACAATTAAGACTTATCAAATAAAGGCAGATATGGGCTCACATTAACCTCCGCATGTAGACAGCAAATACACGCAACTGATTTAGCAGGCTTTATTGATCTCGGAGTCCTATGGGCAGGATATCTATGTGATGAACAGGCGAGCAACAGTATGTAGATTCAGTTCTTAATGCGAGTGTTAGGGCATACGTGTATTTGCCTACTGATTTTAATTCAGTACAATATCTGGGCGTTTCAGGCGTTAATGAATGACAGTAAATCACAGTCATAAGTCTGGAAGTATTGTTCAATCCTGTAAGCATGTTGTCTAAGTGATTGACAGTGATAGTCGGATTTCTGAATCAGTTAATGGAATCCTATAGCCATGACTTCTACGAGTGTGATGATTATTGCCCTATAGGCATGACTTCTATCATCAAACTGACTTTAATCCTATAGGCATGATTTCTAGCATTGAACTGACTTTAATCTTATAGGCATGATTTCTAACATTGAATTGATTTTAATCCTATATGCATGATTTCTAATATTGCTAATTTTAAACCTATAGGTATGATTTCTAGAATGGTTATATGAGTAGGAATCTATACACATTGAGTCAGATTACAATTAATCCAAATATTGATCCTATAGGCATGATTGCTAACACACGTTTATTGGACAGATTGATACACATAAAGACAGGATTCTCAACAAATCATTATGTCAATCCTATAGGCAGGATCTCTATTATGTAGACATAACATACGACTTATAAGCATGATATGAAACATCACAAACGAGATCCTATAGGCAGGATCTCTACCCAATTCAGCAAATGAAAATAAGAAACCCTCCCTGATTTTACTAAATACCGCAAAGTTGTTTGTTACAAAATATTACAGACTAGATTAATGAATTACATAATAATTAAATAAGCTATCGAGAGCCTAAAATAGGCCCAAATACACCAAGGCAGCCCAGGCCTTCAAACCACAATAGCTCCAAGGCTCACTTTCACAGGTACAGAATAATCATATATAGTATCCAAATCTCTAGTGAGTCAAAGTTACCAAGGTCTTCAAGGACCCAGGGCAATGCTCACACTAGAGAACCAAATGCTCAGAAATAGTTCAAAGGAGGTTAGGAACCAAACCTCAGTGTGTCAGATTTCTCAAGAGTCTCACATGGACTCCGAGCAGTGCTCACACTGAGGAGGTTAATGGTAGAACCTAAAGGGGCTAAGAATAGGAGTTTAAAAGTAGCAGCACATAAAAAGGAGACAATGGTAAAGGACAAATTTTAAAACATGTTTGATTTTAGGAAAAAGCCACCATAACAGAGTTTAAAAATACAGAATATATAGACAGAATAGAATTAAGAAGACAAATCGGCAAGACTTGCAAAGTCGTTTGTTTCCAGCATCTGATGAGTTAAAGTCTGAAAGGCCTAATTAGGCCAAGTGTACATGCTAACATTTCAGGACAGCTTTGTTCAATCATAGAAACCATTTAGACAATGTATTAAGGCAAACAGTCAGATAATCACATGAACCCAGATGAATGAAAAAAACATTAGAAGGCAAGTTCTCAGGGCACATGAATGACAGAGAAAGGTTTAATAACAATACAAGTTTGTAAAGACTCAGTACTGATTAACTGATGAAATGATAGCATTATCCTAAAAATGTTAAAGTTTAGGACAATTTTAGAATTAGCAAAACAGCATACATGAAACAAGTTAGAAGGTATTGAACTAATCACCTAAGAGGATTCATATTATTCAAAGATTAACTAATCTCAGAACTAACAGTATCGATTATAGGATTAAAAGAAATCATAGGAACACACAAGTGGTAGAATCATGCTCAGAATGGGTTTTAAAATGCTAGATCATAAACACAATTCATGGATATATAGGTATGAAATGACAAAAAAGGATAGTCACTCACCAGTTAGGCAAGAAAACAAGAAATAACACCATAATAGTCGAAAGCCCAGAATTACTTGGCCTTGGCTTTCAGCCGGCCAAGACCAGAATCAAACGAGAGAGCAAAGAGAATACAGAGCAAAAACCTAAGTTTTAAGTAAGAGTATATTGATTTCCACTCTGTCCTAAAGGGGAAAGGGGAGGGGTTTATATAGTAGTATAGTATAAACATGATACACGGTAAGTATTAAACACAGAATCAATAAGGATCCAAATTTTTTAGGGAAAATAATACATAAACAAAGAGTTCAATATATTAACAAAGAATAATGGCATGTAATCACTTATAATAAGGGGATACAGGAGAGAATAAGGAAAATATCACATAAGAATCGAGTAACAATCGAATTTAGGTACAAATAAGGTAAAAATAAAGGAAACACGATAGATTAAACGGAAATAAGGAAAATATTAGTCAAATACGAGAAAGGAATATTTAACAAATTACCTTTTTACCCATTTTATACTCTTTACCAATTAAAGACAATAACGTGAAAAACAATGGAAAATTTTAAATAAGCGGAAGGGAAGCAATAGAATATCTGAACATGTAGCCATTACAACCGATTAAGCCTTAACCACCCAGAACTGGTGTCATAGTGTCACAGACGATCTAAGAGTGCTAAATACAAAGTCTGAAAATAAATGATATACTGTCTCAGAATCAAAGAGATGAAACACGAAATAAGTGATAGAGGAGACGCCAGGGCCTGCGGACGCCTGCAGGTCTACCATGGATCTCTGTGTGGCCTGAAGGTAACCACTCAATCTACGGTCCGAAGTTTATAGCACTGGGATGTGCACAAAAGAGTGCAGAGTGTAGTATCAGCACAACTGACCCCATGTGCTGGTAAGTGCCTAGCCTAACCTCGGCGAAGTAGTGACGAGGCTAGGACCGGACTACCAAATAAACATGTGCAGTTATATAATATACAGCGGAAAGTAAAGCAGAAATAAACAAGTAAAGATGGGAGGGGGAAAGCATGCTTCGGGGAATAACATGTAAAATAGAATATCAAGAGAATTATAAAGGAACCAAAATCCAACAACTAACAAGGAGGAGGAAAACAAAGGCAGAATTCACTTTCATTTCACATCTTGTTGCAGGCGTGCAACCCGCTCCCATTTCATATATCTCGTGGCAGGCGTGCCACCCGCTCCCATTTTATTTATCTCGTGGCAGGCGTGCCACCCGTTCTCATTTCAATTACCTTGTGGCAGGCGTTCCACCCGCTCCCATTTTATATATCTCGTGGCAGGCGTGCCACCCGCTCCCATTTCATATATCTCGTGATAGGTGTGCCACCCGCTCCCATTTTATTTACCTCGTGGTAGGCGTGCCACCCGCTCCCATTTCATATATCTCGTGGCAAGCGTGCCACCCGCTCCCATTTACAAATCAACAACAACCAAAAAGAATCCCGACAAGGGAACAAGAGCAATATAACAATATCTCGCCAAGGGAACAAGAATAATATAACAACATCCCGGCAAGGGAACAATAATATTTCAAACAAACATCCCGGCAAGGGAACAATGATGATAGTAACATGTGAGGCACAATAAACCACAACGGAGTCATAACAATTATAATACAAGACTCACGGGCATGCTTGACACTGACGTATAGATACTCGTCACCATGCCTATACGTCGTACTCAACAATTAACATGTAGCAAATAATACATGACTCCTAATCCCTCAAGCTAAGGTTAGACCAAACACTTACCTCGATGCCACGAACACAATTCACGTCTCAATTATCGCTTTACCCCTTGATTTCACCACCAATCCACTCATATCTAGCCACAAGTTACTTAATTACATCAATAAATGCTAAATGAATCAATTCGAATGCATGAAAATGGATTTTCCA